CTCACACTCACACTCACACTCTCACTCTCACTCTCACTCTCACTCACTCACTCACTCACACTCACACTCACACTCACACTCACACTCACACTCACACTCACACTCACTCTCACTCTCACTCTCACTCTCACTCACTCACTCACTTTCTCCCTCACTCACTCACTCACCCACCCACCCACCCACGCACTCACTCACTCACTCACTCACACACACTCACTCACTCACTCTCACTCACTCTCACTCACACTCACTCACACTCACTCACACTCACTCACACTCACTCACACTCACTTACACTCACTCACACTCACTCACACTCACTCACTCACTCAACTTGACAAAGCATAACTCATGACGATACTTGATACTTGCATGGAATCCTTTGCCAAAGCCAGAGACGGCTCCCAGCCTTGTCAGTCGCCTGTTGTTCGAGGAATCAGACTGTCGAACGGCCTATCGTATCGCGGTGATGGACATCTGTGTCTATGTGACCTCAAAGCTGTCCACCAGCGAGTCCGCAATGAGAGCTGCCTGGAGGCGCAGGAACTAGGGGCCTCTGTGGGACCCATAAATGCCATACACCGCCTTTCTATGCCACTGTGTATATATATATATACACACACATGCCAGAAAGACCAAAAGAAACCGCACATGTCAATAATCACAATCACCACGAACACCTGACCTCCTTCTCAGCCGAAAGCTTCACTAAGCTCCCTTCGCCTTAGAGCAGAAGTGTGCTTGCACGACCACAAGTGGTTGAGTTCGTGGTGAGAATGCCTGCCAATGCCTTTGTTTGAGCGGTGCTCCGCAAAAGATGCAATGAGTCAAGCTTTGATGGAGCAGCGCAAGGTTGCCATGTAAAACCGTTTTTGAGGTTCCAAGCCCGTCAATGCATCATTATTCATGGGTGAAGCACAAGAAATCATCAATGTTGCACTCGACCCGTAGAATGATTTTGGCTGGTCCACTAATTTGCTTGAAAGCCAAAAGGCTGGGCATGAAGGCATGAACCCCTCCTGGACCTCTCTCATCATTTCTGAGGAACCAGCGTTTCGCCCGTGTCCTGTACGCAGAAAGCACGTTGGCCGGGACCTGCTTGGCCTGCACACTGCATTGGTCGAAGAAAGTGTGAGAGGCCCTCATGCGAGCATCCCCTTTATTCAGCGGAAGTGTACTTCACAGGGGAACAAGAACATCTTAGCAGCATCTGTAGCTGCTCTAGGCGTCAAACCGCAAACTCAGCACAGGAACCACCTCACAGCTTGCTGGGCTGACTTTCCCACGTTTTGCAGTCTCCCAACCACCCTTGAGGATTGCAACAAGTCTAAGCATCACACCTCTATGGCCGTCAAAGATGCCTGTCAAGAACCCGAGCTCATGCAGGTCTTGCGCTGCAATGCGGTCATCATTCCTCTCCTGAACCAGACATCCATCAAGGCCGGCAGAAAAGCACATCTGAAAGTTACAATCAAGTTCGATGCCTGCATGGTGCATGGAAACGATGATAAATATCATTCTCATCAATAGCGTCTGCCCGTCCTTTGCTCCGGCATTGGTGTCAACACCACAGGTGAGGCCCTTTTGTCCTGCCAGCGGCCGCACCTCAAAAGCATCTTCCGGGGAACAAAGAGCCAAAGAGTAAGTCTCTTGAGCCACCCACATCCATGCACACCTCAACACCAATCGAGCCACGGTAGCTGCAATCGAGTCTCTTGTCCCAGTCAAGGACTCTGGGCCTCTCACGACCTCTGCCTTCTGCCGGCCGTTCGCCTGCTCAGCATTGCAGGAAGCGGCCAAAAAATCCGCCCGCACCGAAGGTGCTGAGGCGTTTTATAGGGCACGCGTGATTCCTAAGTACCGCCAGTAGTACTGTAGCTTTAGCTAGGGGGGGGGGACATTTTCGCTCTAGAATCCTGTGTTTTTCACGTTTTTGGAACCGGCTTAGAGTGCTTTCGTGCTAATGTCGGGTATCTTGAAGCCTTTAGGGATGCAAGAAATGCAATTTTCTGCTTTGCATCATCTGCATCATCTGAATCATCTGAGCGGTACGTAACATAACCCTAGAAGTCACTATCTAACGGACATGTCTGCGAGATAGGGACTTGAACGTCCGGGTACGTGGCTGGTCACAAGCAGAGATAAGCAGGTCAGGTCCAGGAACGGTAACATTATCTCCCG